GGAGCTAGAGTCCGTGAGAACCCTTTGGACCAATTTGAGGATTTATTATGAATGGTTAAGTTTATGGTAGAGATTTTGAGGTTACAAACACTAAGAGCAGAAAATAAAAATGACTAACGCAGGTCAGTGGGACAGGCTCCCAAGCAAGCGCTCTTGCTCCACAGGCCTGACCATCTGAATCTATCCCCTGGACCATTGATGAAAGGAGGGAACTGACTGCCAGGGTTTGTCTTCTGATGCCCACATCTGTGCCATCACATGTGCATGCACACACTAACAAAGAGTATGACATACCACTAAAGTTATAATTCCAAAGCTACATCCAAACCAAGAGCACATAGTTTGTGATGCAATTTTCACATTAAAAGAAATTCTCTTAATCAGAGAGAATGGCCTGTTCCTTGAAGGTCCTTACACAGGGAGCAGAAGTTAGCGACGGGTATTTTGTCTGGAGCCCCCTGTAGATGTACAGTGCTCCAATCACAGGACTTAGCTCAGGACCATCACCCTTGATCAATGAAAGAAGAAGAGAGATGAGAGCTTTCTCCGTGAGCTACCATCACCTAAGAAGACTCCCACTTCTGGATCAGGACTGTATGAGTGCGATCAGGTTCCCAAAGGTGACCCGTATGGTACCATCAGAGAACATTTGGGTTTAGAAGGAAGAAATATATGGCCAGATCTTGAGACAAGACACTAAGTGACATCTACCTGAATCTGGTGGAAATTCTTAGTTCTAGTAAAAGGTGGAATTCTGGGCATTCAATTTGACTCTAGATGTGTGTCTGATACCATACAGGTGTGATGTACAGCCATCTACTGCTTTAGCTTCTTAAGTGTGGGGACTACATGCCTGCTTTCCAAACACAACATTTTGAAAACATCATTCATTCATTCATTTACTCATGCTCTCCTCCTTCCAGTCATAAGTTCATTCATACACATTTATTGAGCATCAACTACATACCAGTCGCATCCTTGGGCAAATACAACCTTTGTGAAAGAGTATAAGCTGACAAACTCACCACTCGCAGAAATCAAGACCATTTCCCAGAAGGGGCATTTACTTAGAGCTCAAAGTCACAGAGAATGTGAAATAGACAAAGAGGGAGAGAGACGGAGACAGAGAGAATGAGAGAGAGGGAGAGAGACAGAGAGAATGAGGGAGAGGAAGAGGGTGAGAGAGAGAGAAAGAGAGAGAGAAGGTTAAGGGAGAATGGCAGCAGTACCTCTGGAATACAGAGGGATATGTTCGCACAAGCTCAGGCAGATAAGCCAGATCATACACGGTCTTACCGGCCAGAAGAAAGACTTGGATTTCAGCCTAAGGCCAGTAGGAAGGATGTTGAATAGGGGAACCAAATGATCAAATTTGCCTACTTTTAGCACGAACTGACGTGTGAACACAAGCAGCACAAGCTCCTAAGTACTGTACAGATAGTAAACAAGCGCACAGCCTGGAACGGCCTTGGAAGGAGTGTTGCTGGAGCAAGCGTGGTGCAGGGAGCCTGAAGTCTGGGAAGGATGCAGAGTTCACCTTTTTGTTTGGTTTTTTTAGGAACTAGCTATTTGTCTGATTTGATGCCAAGGTAGTGCTTGGGAAAGCCAGAATAAAATCCCCATCTAAATCCATCCCAGTCTTCCAACACTTCAAAAGAAAAGGTCTTCTTGAGACTTCAGTCTCTGTGGGTGGTGTTAGGGACCACCTACAAGTGTGATTTGAGGGCCCCCCACACCCCCAACCCACCTCCATCCTACCCCCACCCTCGCTCCCAGCCAATGTAAACTTTCTCTGTCCTGCTCCAGTGCCCAAAAACCTACCATCCTCACTCTGTGGTTTTGAATTTCCAACTGCCAAATGCACTAGGAAAGGATAACTCACTGGGCTTCCCTGCCTTCTTAGGACCTCGCGGATGTGATTGAATTCTCTCAGCAATGGAGGACTCCAGAGAATTTTGAGACCCCTGACTATGCGGAAACAGGGAGGGGCTGTGAAATGGGGTACACTGAAGAAGGTGAGAGTCAGAGCACCCTAGTTTCCTTTATTCTTGTTTTCTTGGTTTGCTTCTGAAATCCGTTGATGGATACATGGTGAACCTTGTATGTAAAAGTGTGTGGACTTATATAGTAAAGATACAGGAATAGACTCAGGGTGTGTACAGGACTTTGTAACATTAAAACTCAGGTTTAAGACATAAGGAAGACCCAATGAGACAATTTGCTTAAAGTTTTCTCACTGGTATCTGGCATACATTAAACTATCTATAGCATTTCTATTATTGTTTTACATGTTCCATGCTTACATAAATATGTTTCTTGGACAAGCTTGTGCGTGCATGTAGGTGCAGGCGAGGGTATGTCGGAGAGATAGGATGTGTTTAAGAATCTGGAGGGAGGGCACAGTGCAAAACCCTGCTACAGAAGCTTGTGTTGAAGTACACTTTCTAGAAGGCAAGGGGTCTACAGGGCAGGGCACAGAGGAGCTGAGTGGAAATGAGACGGAAGAATCTGAAGAGAGCTGCCCTCATGGGCAGGTGTGGCAATGCAGAATGGGGTGGGATTCTGTTGATATTCAGTGGGGATTTGGAAAGAATTCTCTGCAGGGGGTACATGTGGGAATTAAGGCCTGAGACCAGAAGAGAAGACTACACTTGCTCCTGCCAGACATCTTCTTCATTTTGAGCTTCATGAAGGTTTGATTTTTTTTTCTTGAACTGATGTGGAAGAACACAAGAAAGACCATCGATGGAAGGCTTCTTGATCCCCTCTTAAGATTTCCCAAGGAGCCACGTCAAAGTGATTTCCTGTGATAAAGAATTACTCTCAGGCAGGGCATTTAGAACAGTTGTAAAATCCTGGCTAGCAAGTATGAGTGCCTAGGTTCAATCCCTGGCCCCCTCCCCCACCAAAGAATTGTTATCCCTAGGCTTAAACATAAGAAGATTCAATAGATGGATAAAAAGAGAATAGGGGAAAAAAAGAAAGGAAAATTGATTTGTATTTGGGGTGGGGGACAGATTCTCACAATATAGCCCAGGATGACCTCAAAATCATGATCCTCCTGCCTCTGCTTTCCCACTACTGGGGTTACTGGTGTGTAGCACACACCCAGCCATAAGAAACCAGGAGGGGGAGGAAGAGGAGGAGGTGGAGGAGGAGGGAATGAAGAAGAAGATCCAGTTTCTAGTTGCAGCTTTACCCTCACTCGCCAGGCAACTTGAGAGAATCTCTTGATCTCTCTGGGCACAGCTGCCTCATCTGCAGGCATGCTGATTGGTCAATCTGGGTCATTATCTCCTGACTTCTTGCCATTGTCCTCATCCCTGATGAGGTTGGATGTCCTCAAACCCTCTCTTAAGCCTGCTTACTTCATGGCACTGTAGTGAAGAACACTGACCGCCTGCCTTCTATCTGATGACACTGGTCACATGACCACCTTTCCTGCCTGTCTCATAGTCTTCATCTGAGTGGTTAAAGTAAACAGTAGTGGTGTCCCCAAGTTGGTCAAAGGGTCAAGCAGGCAATACAGGTGAAGTATTATAATAGTAGCTGACATGCGCAGGGGGCCACCCTGCTATGATGTGATGTCATTACCTACTTGCTCAATTGGACTGATTTGCAACTTGAACACATTATTGATAAATAAAAAATGGAACTTTATCATCATTTAAAGAGTGTGGAATGGCTACAGGAAAGAGAGGAGATCGGGGGTCATTACCCCACCCCCACTCCCTGAGACAGAGTTTCTCCATGTAACAGCCCTAGCTGTCCTGGAACTAGCTCTGTAGACCACCCTGGCCTTGAACTCACAGAGATCCACCAGCCTCTGCCTCCCGAGTGCTGGGATTAAAGGTGTGCGCCACTACCACCCACCCAGCTACTTTTGCCTTTTTAAAAGACCTTCCTGTGCTCTGATTTTCAAAGTATGCGCATGCACACCCCACTTTTTTTTAAAATTGGAAGAAACTGCACCAAAGATTACTGAAGCCTCTCTCATCTCAACACGCAAGAAGTGATTATCACTTTTAAGACCAGTATTTTATAAGAGGCCGACTTATCTTTGAACCACAGCTATCATTAATATGTTTGACCTTCTCAGGAAATCCTCATAAAAGTTTAAAAATAAGCACGGGCACTTGGCATGTTTCTAATTAAGCAACTTTAAGCTGCTTGAATAGGGGAGGAAGTGGGGAAAGCAGGTCCACGAAGAATTCAGTGCTTGGTATCAAGGATGGGTCAGCCCAGCCTGTGGGCTGGCAGGCAGCTGCTGGCAGCGACAGTGTTAACAATGTTGGGTAAGGTGATCCCTTGAAACTGGAAGGACTTTATGGAAGTTTTCAAAGCCAGGCTGCTAAGCCTCTGGGAGGAAAGGAGGCTGGCCAGTTAGAAGGAGCAGCCCAGCTGAGCCCAGAAAGAGGGTAGCCGATTGCAACTGAAATTATAGGCACAAGGTTAGTGGTCCCACGTCCTTCGGCGCGCCGGCAACTTTGGAGAAGACTTCCACCCCCACTCCCACCCAACCCCGCCACCCCGAGGCGCCATCTCTGCTCAGCTCACCTCACTTCTGCTCTGCTAGCGACTGAGGGCCACCGGCCCTCCAGCCGAGCCCACCCGCGGTGTCCCCGGTCACCGGAGCCTGGGCGTGGCTGACTCGTACCGTGAGACCTCTCAAAACCGGAAAGTTGGTTTTCAGGCATCTGAAATGAAACTGCTTGTAAAGCCAGGATTGTTTTCGGACCACACACACACACACACACACACACACACACACACACACACTGCCTGTTCATGCTGCTTGCTTTGAGTTTCTGTAGGCTATGACCACAAGCCTGAATTCCTTTCTGCTGAAGCTGAAAGCCTGCCAGTACAATTGTCAGAGCAACTAAACAGGCCGCAGGACCTCACCTGGTAGGAGGAAGAATGTCTCTGGCTCTGCACTAATCTGGGGGGGGCGGGGAGGAAGGCATGGAGAGGAGAGGAGAGAAGGGGGAGGTGACAGAGTTAAGGCAAAACAATACTGGGGAGCAGGGATTTTTCTTGAATATTGCCAGAACAAAATAGGGGAGGAAGATCTACTGGAGGGGAAGAAGTCTACATCTGCATGGGATTCCATAAACACTTTCCTAAACTCTTCGGCTTGTGCTGCAGAGAGAAGACAAGCCCATCTGGGGGAGGGGAAGAGGGAGGAGGTAGGTGGCTATCCTCCCAGAAAGTGTATTGTCGGCCTAGGTCTGAGTTAATGCTAATCGACTGTGCATCAGGCAAGAGAAAGCTCCTCTCCTGTCCTTTCAGTAGAGAAGTGGCTCCTGGCCCGAGCTGGTCAGTTTCCTTTCCTTGCCTGGGCTCTCCACTCAGAAGCAGTGAGCCCTCAGTCACTGCGCAGAACTCCCTCTGATCCTGGCAGCAGGCACAAGTCTTCTAACCTGCAAGACTGAATCAGAATGAGTCATTTGAAGCTCCCGGAACAAAGTACTTGCAGCTGCCTCTCAAGACACAGCCTCCATGTAGGTGGGACACACCTCTCGGGGCAGTCACATTTTTTTTCCTCCTTCCTTCAAACAGGCAGGGAATTCTGATGCTCCCAAAAGACCGGCTCTACCCCCTCGGCTCGCCTGCCCCCTACTATGAGAACTCTACTTCTCCAGGTCCAACAGGAGTTTTAAAATAAAATGGATGATTTGACGCTACTTGATCTCCTGGAGTGCCCTGTGTGCTTTGAAAAGCTCGATGTCACAGCCAAAGTCCTCCCCTGCCAGCACACCTTCTGCAAACCATGTCTACAGAGGATTTTCAAGGCCCACAAGGAACTGAGGTGCCCGGAATGCCGGACCCTGGTGTTCTGCAGCATCGAGGCTCTGCCAGCCAACCTGTTGCTGGTGCGTCTGCTGGATGGTGTGCGCTCGGGGCAGAACTCCTGGAAAGGGGGCTCCTTTCGCAGGCCTCGCATACTGACCTTGCAGGACAACAGGAAAACCAAGACCAGTTCCAGAAGTCTACAGGCCAGCCCTTTCCGGCTGGTGCCCAGTGTCAGGATCCACATGGATGGGGTAAGAGAAAACTTGCTTGCTAATATCATGTGCGTTTGGAGGTTGGGTATGTGTATGCTGAGAGCTAGGGAGCAGACTACTTACTTCATGTACAAAGACTTCCATCAGAGTGCTGGAGATGATTCCCCAGAATGGGCTGGGAGAGCTATGATCACTTTACTGAGACACAATGGGAATTCTGAGCCTATCTGATCCATCTGACAATTCGTCTGAAACAGAACTTCTGATGCTTGCTAGATTCTCCTTCAGTTCTCGTCCTGAGGTAGTCGAACCATGAAAGAAGTACTTGTAGATAATCGTTTTCTGGTCTTTCACTTCTGCTGCTAAGGGGCCAGACCAGTGCATGGGAACTGCTCCAGAGTGAGGAATAAAGAAAAATAAATTCAACTGCAGGTTGGTTTTGAGATTTCGGAGAAGTTTGCAGATGTCAGGTGTTGCTTGAATTTTACCTAAATCTCTTTTCCCATCCCTTATCATAAAGTGCTGATACGAGGACGATCACTCATAATCTGTCCAAAGCTATCGAGATACTTGATGCTCAGAATCACGCAGGAGGGAAGTGTCTATGTATGTGGACTGATTGATGGCAAAGGTTAGGATATATAATCAAATAGATGTGTATAGACACACTGCCGATGTGTCTCTACAAAGCAAAGAGAACACACAAAATGTTCTAAGCAATGGCTTAGATCGTTGGCATATTTAGGCCATCCAAGATGTATACTCTGAAGTCTGGCCTAAAGCAAGCTTTAATGCTCGCTGCAGGGTCCCAGGACTGCTCAGAAGAGTAGCGGTGGGTGGGAGCATTTGGCACTGGGCTCCCTCCTCACACAGAAGAGGCTTGCAGTATGCATTCACAGCTGTTTCCTGAAGCTTTCTTCTGAGAAGTCAGTCTCTTGGAGTTCACTGCACCTTTAAACCACCCATGTGGTAGGGTTGTGTGTAAAGATTCAAAAAAATGAGAGCGGGAAGTTGGCGTGGCTTCTTCACTGAAGGTTTTTTTTTTATTGCTGCTGTGCTTCTGTAGGTGAACACATTCCGGGAAAGGGATGGGCGCTCACTCCACTTTACGTCTCCTCAGCCAGTCAGAACCCACAGGCCTGCAAAGGTAGAGTAGGGTGGAGAACAAACCTTATTCAAACCTACCTTGTTAAGAGAAAAGATATCAGTGTCAGGGTTGGCAGATGGCCCTTGAATTTTGAACACTTGGAAACCTCTTCTCTTCCCCTGCCTATAAAAGTCTGACTTGCCTTTCAGGAGAGGGTCATCATTCGCTAAGGAAACGCTGCCTAGAAGGAGGCAGGGCCCCTGTAAGCTTTGCCTACTTCTGTTCAGGTTTTCCTCTTTCTCCCTGTTGCTAAGGAAAGCGCATTTGCAGTTGCCAGGGGGTTGCACCATTCAAGATTCACAGAGTGCTCCTCCACAAGGGGAATTGAGAGCAGAAAATAGTAAGGCGTTAAGAGAGTGGGTGTCCCTGGACCTCTTTGCAGGGATGTGGAACCTAGGACAAAGAAGACAGTGATGGGTCTGTGCATACTCACCAAGCCACCCCGGACCCAGGCCTGTCATCAGGGCTGAAGCACGGACTCAAGTCCTTCAGGGTTCATGCTTCTAGAGAGAATCTGAGTTCATAAACATGTTTTTCAAAGAGAAGGGCTGGCAGCCCACCACTGTCACCCCATTCGTTCACTTCTTTCTTGGAAGAGTTCATCCCACGTCTCTTGTCTCTTGATGGGACTATGAACAAACCCATTCCTGGATGTTAAGACAGTGGCATCCTGCAGCTTGTTTCTGCTTGCAGAAGTATACCTATCTTTCCTGTAAGTATGAAACCTTCGTGCCTTCCAGTTAAGGCACGGATGCTGCACTCTGAGGGTGGACTCGCATCATCGTCAGTCAAATCCCCTGGGGTTATTTGTCCTTTCTGCCTCGGTGTATCCAACCAAGCCGACAGCCAATAATATTTGCTACCCCATCCCTTCTCTAAGACACTGTGAAATTATCTTTGCAACGTGCTGCATCACCATGGAAAACATCGGCCAGGGAAACACAAAGCACCATCATTATCGTTAATTTAAACACGCGCGATGACTTTGGACAAGCCACTTAAGCTGGCTGGGTCTCAATTTAAAATTCTGTAAAATGGGAAAATGTATTATAAAAACCTAGAGCCACCTTGACACCTAACTAATTAATGTTTGCAAAGCACTATGACAGCCTTAGATGAAAGGCATCGGACGATCGTTATCGTAGTAAATATCACTATTGGCTGTTTATTGTGCCCTGCCATACATGAGGCATTCTGCAAAACACAGGAGTTATAGCCCTCGCAGGAAAGCGGAACAGGCATTGTTATTAAACATGAGTCTATGGTGAACCCAGACCGTAGTAATACTAAGCCTAAATACTCCCCTGTGCAGGGAAAATCATCTGTTGTCATAGGGTACCATTTTGTAAAACACCTCTTTCATAGGCCTCCTTCATAGCCTGGCAGGCTGTCAGAGTTCATTTAACTTCCTACTCACAAGCTTTTTAAGCCCAAAGTCTGTTCTGCTCGCCCAGGCTCATCCACCAAACAAGCTCATCAAGATCTCTTTGTTGGCTCAAAGAGGCCTGATGCCTGTTGTGCCAGCAAGTATGCTGGGGTGGAACCAATAGTCACACCTCATGCTGCCAGCCCAAGAGAGAGAAAAATTAGCCCATTGTGCCTACACATCTAAATCCCTCCCAAGCTGATTGTATAAAAAGAAAACTTGAGAAGTGGCTACGGGCTCTTACAACATGCAATTATTCCACCGAGTTGGGGAGCTCTGGTGGGCTCCTTATGATAAAAATCCCTCTGGGTCTTAGCCCAATGCAGCCAAGCCAAAGGAATTGGATAAGCCTTCAAAAGTCACCAAAGAGTTTATCTCTCTTCCTTCTCATTCTGTTTTAATGACATTTCTGAATTAAGACAAGGAAAAGAGATTTGGTGAAATTAAAAACCCAAACCCTGAGTCTGCTCCCTCAATGGTCGTGTACTTTGACTGAGTCACTATAAACCTCAGGGCCTCCAATTCTCCACCAGGAAATTGAAGATAATGGCAGTGCCTACCTCAGAGGGCTGTTGAGAGATAGAAATGAGATGAGTCACGCCCATTAACTCTTCGTGCGTTGACTGGCTCGCGTTGCATGCTCAATAAATATTAGCTGGGATTGTTGGTGAAGTGACTCAACACTTTCTACTCAAAATTACTCGCCCTCTCTCACCCCCTTGTGAATTAGGTGCACCCCAAAATGGTTCTTGGTGCCCTGATTATCTGGCTTGTGTGGTTTTGTTCCGAATGATCTGTGGCCCATAATTCAGGTATGGTACTTCCCAGCTTGTCCTGGCCTGAAAGCTCCCTTCCAGAACTAGAACCCTTAGGGAAGGGAGCTCTGAGTTGGGAGGGAGAAAGTTCACAAACTTCACTTCTCTGAATTCTCCCCTCCCCCCAAAAAAACTAATTAAATTTTTAAAAGCATACCCAGAAAGCAAGTATCTGGTTCACCCCAACCCCCCAAGCAACACTGATTCTTCCTTAACTTTGCATTTTCTCTTTTCTCTGCCACGCTCTCTCTCTCTTCCCCAACACAAGTGCCACCGCCCTGGGTCTCTCAGGGCTGGACTTTCTCCCTGCATTGTTAAGCACTGTGGCAATCACACCCCACATCAGCGGGAACACACCTGCTGTCACCACACAGAGACCAGGTGGCTCTGTCACAGAAACTTCTTCAGCTGCTGTTGCAAGCAACTGAGGAGCAAAAAACGAGGTCAGAGAGCACCTGAGGGAGCTGAGGTCGGGCAGAAACCACAAGGCCGTTGAGCCCCTTTCTCGGGTCTTAGGTGTGTTCTAAGCGGTGATACAGATGGTGGGTTTTGCTAAATGAGCGAAAAGATTAAATCATTCCAGTCCCTCAAAACAGCAGGCAGGCGACACCTGGGATGACCATATGTAGCAAGTGGAAAGATTCAAGTAGGGAGAGGCTGTGGCTGAGAAATCAGGGGACCCGGGTGAGTCTCCGACTTCCCCCATATTTATTTGCAAATAACTTTGGATAAACACGGGGTCCCGAGTGTCGCTGCTGCCGCGCACCCACGATGCGCCCACTCCTAACTATAACCCACTCCCCCTTTGGTTGCTAATTGTATTCGAGGATTTCTGATCAAATGGAGCTGCCTTTGTGCTGGGATTTAATATCTGTTAGCTGCGAAGCCTTAGGCAAGTCATTTAACATCTGTCATCCTCCGTTTCGGCATTGTAAAAGGGAGGTAATAATGGCATGCACGCAGCATAAGGTCATCGTGAAGTTGAGATGCGATGATGCATATTGAGAGCTTAGCGCAAGTGCCTGGTACCCAACAGGAGCTAAGACACGTTAGCAACAGCAACAGTAAACCTACAGCGCAACCATAGAAAAGTCTGCTAAGAACAAGGCCCCTCGAAAGCAACCGAGCAACGCTTATGTGAACTCACAGAGACGGGAGCAGCAAGCACAGGGCCTACACGGGTCTGCACCGGGTTCCTCTGCATATATACTGTTTTTAGGACTTTTACGAGACTTCTGAATGTGTAGACAAGTGGGTGTCTGGCTCTCAAGTCTTCTCTTGGGGCTCTTTTATTCTTCTATCGGCCTTTAAGCTTGGCCTGTCCAACTGCGATATGATGGTTCTCATTTTATCTTACTATTTTTTATTTGTCATGTTTTGTTGTTATCTCCTAGAAACCTGTTCTTTTCTAAGGAGAGACAGAAAAGGAGTGGATCCAGATGGGAGAGGATGTAGGGAGAAACTGGGAGGAATAGAGGGAGGGGAAACTGCATTCAAATATAAAAGAAAAAATTAAATATAATAAAAAATAGAAAAGTCTGCTAGTAGTGGGGAATGGAGGGATATACATAAATATTGAAAAATTAAGTAAAGGGGATTTGGGGAATATCAAAAGGAAAAGATGTTCGCAAACAGTCAGAGCTATCGGGAT